CGGAATTGGTCCAGAGGGGAAAGAGGTGCCTAATTATAAAATATATTTTATATTAAAATAATATAAAACATGTCTGGGAATATGACATGTTTGCATGCACAATGTGTGTCATGTGGGCTTCATATGCCCTGGACAAACACGTGTGTAGGAAATGCCTCCGGCTGCTTTGAGCTCAGCGTTTCTGAGTTTGAGGAGAGGCTGGTGTCACTACATAGCATATGGGAGGCTGAAATGTTCATGGATCAAATGTTTCAGGAGGTGGTCACCCCACAGCCACAGAGAGTTCAGAAGGAGAGTGAGTGGGTGACCATCAGCATGGTAGGAAGAAGGTATAGGCAGTGCAGAGATCCCCTGAGAGTGTGGCACTCACAAACCAGATCTCTGTACTGAATGTGATGACACCTCTGGGGAGAGGTGTCAAAAGCAAATGGATGCATAGGGGGGACACAGGGAAGAGTGTCAAGGCAGTTGTCATTGGGGACACAACAATGAAAGGATTAGACAGGTGTTTCTGCAATTATACACGTGACTCTCACATGGTATGTTGCCTCCTTTGTGCCGCGGTTGAAGACATCACAGAACGGGTGCAAAACATTCTACAGGAGGAAGGGGAACATCCAGACGTTGTGATCCATGTTGGCATCCATGACGTAGAGAAAAAAAATCTGAGATTCTACAGGGAGAGTGTCAGAAAGGAAAAAAGCTAAAGAGTAGGACCTCAAAGGTGGTGATCTCTGGATGACTCTGAGTGCCTTGCGCAAGTGAGTATGAAAACAACAGAATCAAACACATGACTGCATGGCAGAAAAAATGGTGCAGAATGGAGGGCTTCAGGTTCCTGGAACATTGGGACCAGTTCTGGGGCAGGTGAGACCTGTACAAGGTGTTGGTCTTGGAGTGCATGTGCGTAAATGTACGGAGTGTGACAAATAAGATTGGTGAATTGCAGGCTCAAGTTGCCATTTGGGGTTATGATGTAATGGCAATAACGGAAACTTGACTCAAACAAGAACAGGAATGGGAGCTGAGTATTCCTGGCTACAATGTATTCAGGAAGGATAGGGAAGGGAAGGAAAAAAAGGAGGGGGTGTGGCAATATTGATTAAATACACGGTTACGGCCCAGGAAAGGAACGATGTGCTCGAGGGTCCAAAAACAGAATCTATTTGGTTAGAGTTAATTCCTCATTCCTCTCCTACTACTCCCTTCACAAGCCCCTCCAATCGGGTTTCCGTGCTACTCACAGCTTTGGTCAAGTTGACAAACAATATCCTGCCCATCTGTGACCAGGGCACCATCTGCCTCCTCGTCCTCCTTGACCACTCTGTTACCTTCAATACCTCCATTCAATGTTTAAAGTGGTATCAACCTTCAATCCCTCCTCCTTGCCCCCTCTCTCCCCTTTTTCAAGTCCCGCCTGAAAACCTTCCTTTTCGACCGTGCTTACGGTCACCCCCTCCCCACCCCGACTCGAAGTCAGGCTCCACAACTGTTAAGCGTTCTGAGACGCTACCCTATGTGGAGAACACTATATGAGCGTAAGTTGTTCTTGTTTGCATTCTAAAATATAGTTTCACGCAAACCTTTCTGCATGCAATACAATGAGGCAAAATAAACTGAGTATCGAAGAACAAAACGTATTGTTTCACTTCTCTTACTGCATGAAAATGCAATAGTGATGATGGAACACTATTTTCATTAATGCTAATTTCTGCCCTAAATACAATGCTCCTGTAATTAACACAAAATCAAATCTCATTATTAGAATTACGAATCGCAGTATGAATTATTGGCTCCCAAGCATAACCAAAGTGCCTGCTTCAATTTAACTAAATTGGAATTTAACAATTATAATAATCCTTGCATTTGTTATATTGCATCATTGAGACACCTCAAAGCACTTCACAAAATATATTGTAAAGCGAATTGAAACACAGCAGCCAATTGCACACAGCAGGAAACTTCACTGATGCGACTTTCTGCTAAATACACAGGCGTGACCTAGCTATGTAACAAACCAAGAAATACTGACCAGTAACCAGTTTTTAGCACAGCTACTTATTAAATGGGTTCTCTACCCAAACAGCTACGCTGTTATGGCAGCAATCTGTAGGGTTGATACCACTTTAAACATTGAATTAAACCAAATTGAGGCAGAAATGTTTTTGGGGGTGTCAGGTTACACATGGTAATGCATCACCATTCTTTAAAGTTTTCAAACAAAATGATGGAGATTTGCACAAATGTATGATTTTCAGTTTATATCACAGAATCATACAGCACAGAAAGAGGCCATTCAGCCCATCATGTCAGCGCCAGCTCCGAAAAGAGCAATCCAACTCAATCTCACTGGCCCGCTTTCTCTCCATAGCCCTGGAATCTTGTCCTCCCCAAATACCCATCTACTTCTCTCTTAATAGTTGTTATTGAATCGGCTTCCACTACCCTTTCAGGTAATGCATTCCAGATCTGAACAACTCGCTGGGTGAAATTTTTTTTCCTAACCTCCCCTCTGTTTCTTTTAACAACTAACTTAAATCGGTGTCCTCGGGTTACTGACCCACATGCCAGTGGAAACAGTTTTTCCCGGTTCAACCTATCAAATCCTCTCATGATCTTGAAAACCTCTATTAAATCTCCGCTTAATCTTCTCTGCTTTAGGGAGAATAATCCTAGTTTCGCTAACCTCTCCTCATAACTAAGGTCCTTCATTCCTGGTACCATCCTGGTAAACCTCCTTTGCACCCTCTCCAATGCCCTCATATCTTTCCTAAAGTTCGGTGCCCAGAACTGAATGCAGTACTCCAACTGAGGTCTAACCAGCATTTTATAAATATTCAACATAACCTCCTGACCATTGAATTCTACGCCCCTATTTATAAAATCTAGTATCCCGGGTGCTCTTTTAACAGCTTTATCTGCCTGTCCTGCCACCTTCAGAGATTTGCTTATGTGGACCCCCAGGTCTCTCTGTTCATTTGCCCCCTTTAAGATTGTACCATTTAGCTTACACTGCCTCTCCTCATTCTTCCTACCAAAATGCAACACTTTGCATTTCTCCACATTAAACCTCATCTGCCAAGTTTCTGCCCATTTTACCAACGCCATATGATATGGAGTTGAGAACTCTCTCTCAATCCCAATCTCAGAGAGTTTAGGTACAGGTTGGTAAGAGCCACTCGGACCTACTTATCCATCATGTCTTTAGTTTTTAGGGTTAACAGCTACCAAGAGGGAAGAATCCCAGCCCCAATGAATGGTCTGTTTCTCCTGAGTAACAAGAAAGGATGGCTGGTTCATATCCATAGTGCCTTGGCATCCTGCAGAACTACCTGGGTCAGATCTTAAACAACTGAGATTGCCACAAAGATTTCCATTGTAATTTCCAGTTCTGACGAAGGGTCGTGGATCTGAAATGTTGACTCACTTTCCGTTCTCCATAGATGCTGCCTGACCTGCTGAGCATTCCCAGCGATTTCTGTTTCTGTTTTCCGTTGTCAGGCATGTCATCTTGGAGCCAGCTCAGCCCCAAAACACTAGTTGGTCATAAAACATCTCACATGAGCAAGTTTGAACCCTTGCTCAGTGGATATAGCGTACCAGGACCTCCTCATGAGACACATAAAATTGAGCAGAAGACGCAACAACGACAACAACATTACATTTATATAGCGCCTTGGATGTCCCAAGGCAACATAAAACGTCAGGAACTGCTTGGTCGCAGGACCAAAGGAGGCACTGTCCAGCTCAATAGATGCAGCAAACATCTACAGAAAAAACATTTCAACTAAGTTGGTTGATTTCCCATATAGCAGGTATCAATGGCAGCATCTCCTGGAGTTGAATGTCCTACGATGCAATAATCATATCAACTGATTTTACCCCCACTGGATATTATAAGGGAATATCACATCAATGTTTCATGAATATCACATAAACATAAAGGTGGAGAAAATCCATATACATAATTAATATACTTTTCTTTTTTTCTCCATCTTCTGCAGGCCCTAACTGTATGGGTACCAGCCAATCATGTACTGATTCCAAGAGGCCATTCTCCACGGGTGAATTTAAGACAGCGAATGTTATCATATTAATAATAATAAATAGTTATCAGGCTATTTAACAATTGTGGAGTGAACCACTAAGCCTGATCCTATTCTTATTACCCACACCTTGCTTCAGAGTCATTGGACAACACATACAGATGCAGAAACATGGCTGAATATACCCTCCCCAGATTAAGAGCACTACTTTAGTTGATTGAGATTAGCTAACTCTAGCATAGAACTGGAATCGAATAGTTATCTTTTTCGATTAAAAAAATTGATTCCCAAGGAGCAACACAGCTCAGCCAGGTGAAAATAAATATTCTGGTGCTACCCAAACTGCGGTGTAAATCTCAATAAGAGAGAAAGGGGTGGGGGGGGGGGGGGGGGGAGGGAGGGCTGTGGGAGGAAAGCAACGGCTTTCCCTGCAATGGATTGCAGAAGACTCCCACGTCAACAGGATGCAGCAGCAGTGGGGGTGATGTACACCACTGATTTTGACACAAATGAAGAAAGGCGTTCAGCTGATGACTTGTGTGTGTGAAGGGGTTGGGAGGAGATGGGTAGTGGGTGGGTGGGTGGGTGGGTGTGGGTGGGCGGAATTACAGCTGTCGATTTACCACACGGTGTTAATTTGAAGTCCTCCAGAGAGGATGGTGTGCAAATGCCAGGGGTTAAACTCGCTGTCAGTATCACAGGGAGCCATGGTTACGCAGACGTCACGCATGTCAACCAAGCAAATAATGCAACTCTCACAGAGACAATAAAGACTCCCTTTTCCGATCCCTCTGCGTAGGGGGAGAGGGAGGAGGAGAGGGGAGAGAGGCACAACACACACACAAAAATATACACATTAATGAAATGTCATCTTCTCCCCGTATCGCCCCTCCCCTCCTCCTCCTCTCTACACATGGAAATCAAGAGGGGGGGTTAAAAAAATAATCACTTCACCTTCTCCAGCTTCTCAAAATGCTCTTTCAGGAACTTCATCGGGCGGTCGGGCTTCGCTAAGCAAAGGCTCACGATGCATTCCTTCAGGATTTGCTGGATGTTGTGCTTCTGGACGTAAAATTCACATCCCTTCAAGCTCTCGTCCTCCTCCACAGTCGAAGACGCCATCTTTAGGGCTTTTAAATATATATATTTAAATGTGAATATATATATATATATCAATATATAGGCGCGGGTGTACACATGTGTTGGGGGAAGGACAGAAGTCTTTAATTCTTACGCACTCGGGGGGGCGGGGGGGGGGGGAAGGGGTTGGGAGGCCCTGATGAGAGAGGAGGGGAGAGAGAGAGGGAGGGAAGAGGGGGAGAAATTGGTTAATAAGACAGCGTTATGATCGGCATTGGCCTGTCGTGGTGCTGAGGATGTGAGTGTGTGGTGCGGTGGGGGTGGGGGGTATTTGTCGGTTTGTGGAGAGCGAGGCGACGGAGAAAGGAACGGTTGGCGTTTGAAATCGGGGTGGGGGTGGGGGGGTGGCGGTTGGTGTTACCTGGGCAGCGCGCGATCCCCCAGCGCTCGAGATGATGGTGATGCTGCCGCCGTTGGTCCCCTCGTCCGCGAGCCCGAGCCCCAGCTCGTGCGTGCCGTGCGTGCGCGTGTGCGTGCGTGACGTACGCGCGCCGCTGACGCCAATCACCTTCCCACCACTCCCACTGGGTAACAACCCCCCTTCCCCCCCCATCCTATAATTTGGGGGTACAACAGCCACCGGTTGGATGGTTGGTTGGTTGGTTGGATGGGTATCCTGTCCCAAGCGCCTCGGGACTCCCCTCCCGACCCCGGCGTGAACGGAGCCACAGAAATTCAATTTGTCGTTGTTGATAACACTGAACCGTTTCGAAGCACCTCACAGACGATTGCTGCCGAGTGTAGTGACTGTGCGCTCGGAAGCTGCAAAAACAGCGGGTTACTTGCCAGACAGTGCTCTCAATAAAACTGTCCGGTAAGCTGGTTGGACTGGCGGGACCCCAATGCACACTCTTGGGGTCCCCAAACCTTAGCTCTTGCCAACATGCACCCAATACGCTCCAGAATTAGATAAGCAGGAAGCATCCCTCCAGGGAGAATGCCCATTCCTTTCCAATAAATATCTGGAATTTCCAATGTATAGGTGGGATGCACGGATTCTGCTTGGTTCGGATACTCTTAAGCATAGTGATGGGTTTCCACATGAGTCAGACACACGGCTAAACCAAAAAAAATATTTTGGTGTCTTGCCAACAGTCCTCTTGATAAAAAAAAATGGTCATTCACTGCATGGCTGTTTGTGGGCTACGTCTGTGTGCAGTTTGGCTACCATGAAATGCACAGTCACTACATTAAACATAAAACTGCTGAAAAACACTTTTAAGATGTTTTGATCTGATAAGGTTCCACAGTAGATCAAATGTAAAGATGATTAAAATACCAATACACTTGAAAACATTAACTCAAGATGTTTTGCTGTGATAAGGTACTATACAAATGCACGCTCTTTCTATGTATAGAATGGGACAGCACTTTATAATACAAAGCCAGCTTGCTGCACCTCCCAATAGGGAGAAATTCCACCTAAGTTAAGACTTACACTATTTTATTAGCATTTCAGTGTGCAGAATTTGTCAAATTCTTAAATGCAGACTTAATTATAGTAATTTTACTTTAGGTTATTTTAAGATCTTAAAATTCAGACCTAATTTAACAATGTGCCAAATTCCACTTAGGGGGAATTTTTCCCCACCAGCACTTCAATTATTTGGATTATCCACATATAAACCAAATGTTCATCAATGTACTGCTTAAAGAAGGAAGAGTCTGACCATGTCAGTGAACATTGGTTATTCTACACTGTTTATTGTCCTCATAGATGAGTTTGTGTATGGGTGATTGAGTGAATGAGTATGTGTGAATAAGTTTGTGTGTGCATGTATGTATTAGTGAGTGAGTGTGAGTGCATGTAGATGTGAGTGAGTTTGTATATCTGTGCATGTATGCGTCTGTACAAATGACCACTTGTATGATCAAAATAACTGGACATATAAATTGGACTTTTTGGTGAATTGTGAATTTTAATTATTAACTTGCAAGAGGCATAAATAGATTTATGGGTCAGTGCAGCTTTAAATCAATTCCAGAATGCTGCAGCTGCACAAATATCAGGTGATAATTCACACTTGTATTTTATTGTTTTATTTTGCACACCTGTGAATTATTATCCTAAATGGCGAAGAAAGGCCCCTTTTACACCCACACAACAAATACTGCAAGATACACAAAGACACATTCTCATTACTTAGATGCACAGGGTTTCTGTTATACTTGTGGCAGTACCTACAGCTTTCAACATCGATCTGACACAACGACTGATAGCACTGAGCTCAACAGGTCGTTCAGAATAAGCGCTTTATTAAAAGCACATTAGAATTCCCTACAATCATTCAATTTCCATCCATTCTACCACAGAGCACTCATTTGCATGGTCGACAATGTACTCCTTAATTCCCAGAATATGTACAACTAACTCAAAGCAATCCCTTAAAAACTAAAATAGTGTTCTCACAACTTACATAACACAGAAACCTAGCTTCCGGGTTCCTACTTAGGTAACGCTTATAATAATAATAATAATCCTTGCATTTGATATAGCGCTTTTCACGTTGAGAGGACGTCTCAAAGCACTTCAAAGAACACACTGTAAAGTGAATTGACTGTATATTTGTGGGCGAACACGGCAGCCAATTGCGCACAGCAATGTCCCACAAACAGTCAAAAGTCAAAAAGTCAAAACTTATGGTCAAAAGAAGAATCAAAGTGTTCAAATTCAATGAGAGTACTAACACATAACCCACAAGGGAGGCTGGCCAGCGGGAGCACTTTGCATTTGTAAAATCCTCAAATGCAGAGCAGACACAGATGTGTTGTAACATGTTTTTTTTACCAGTGTCAGTCCTTATTGAATTTATTGAAACGAAATGGACAGCTCATTCAGAGAGCCTACACACATTCGTGTCCTGTAAAATTCTATGACTCTGTGATTGCAGATCATTTGCACACCTGATCTGTACAAATTGTTTTGCAGTTATGTACAATTTCCGTTATTAAAAACAACATATAATCGAAGTGCCCTGATATAAAAGTAGATTGTTCCCTTAATTAAATTTCATCAAAAAACTGTTGAATTTCACTTGGAGCCAAAAAGCATATTTCTGGAATCTGAGCAGTCCTGGTTGAACTTTTTTGTGGTTTTTGTTCATACTCAATTTTTGAACTAAGTGTTAAATCTATAACCCTTTTTGAAAATTGTCTTCTTTCATCTGCATTTTATAGAAATCAGGCTCTAACAATATGTAATGCAAACATAAATCTTCTTGGCAAAAAACATTCTAACAGGACTCAAAGATGTGATAACAGGCAAAGTGGTTATCACAAGAAATCACAAGAATGGTTCGGACAAAGAATGGATCTTGGATCTCATGCTCCCAGAATACAAACCCTACCATTTTCCCAATAGAGCATCTGCTGTTTCTAAACCAACTTCTAAAAATGCATGACTGTTTCTGGGATACTGCTGTTGGCTGTATCATTTCACCCAGAAAAAATACAGTCAATTCACTTCACAATATATTCTGTGAAGCACTTTGAGATGTCTCAATGACATGATAAGGCACTATACCAAATGCAAGGATTATTATTATTATTATAACTTCAATATCATGGGCTCAATCACCATCCCCAATATTCCATTAGATATTTGTTACTTCCATGACACTATCTCTATCCTGTTTAAGCATCTTACATATCTCCATGACTTCCCTCTGAGGAACTAACTAAACCTGATCTAGTTCCGGTCTCTAGATTGTACGCAATAATCCGAAAATGCAAAATTCCACCCAGTCTTAGACTGCCTTAGGTCCAATTCATTTTAAAATTTATCAGCAGAATTGAAGCAATGTTTTAAAATTTAAGTTTCAATCACTTTATTTCATGAACTGTGGAAAAAGAGTGTCCAAATTGAACTTAAAAGGCTTCCACAATTCAGCATGATCTGAAATTTTAACATTATCTTACAGGCTAAGTCTAGGTGGAATTTCAAGCCTCAGGGACTTTGTAAGATCTTGACTGCTTCCGCTGAATCCGCAATGCTCCTTTCCTCACTTTCCCAGCTTGGTATCATCTGCAAATGTCACCATATTTCACTGAGTCTCAAGGGGAACAGGTCCGAACATGGACCCAAGACATCCCACTCAATACCTTCCCCTCACTTCAACCTGGTGTTTACACTCTGCTTCCTTCCCTTTAGCCAGTTGCTAATCCATGTAATATCTTACCCTTGAAATCCACTCTTATCAGGAGTTCATCTGATTCATTTTTGTGTTTGTGTGCTGAATGTAACGGAGCTTGCATTGAGACCAGGGAAACGTTTATCATAACAAGAGAGCTTTATGTTACAACAGAGGTTGCAATAACAAGGATGCATTGTGATCAAGAAGAAACAGATTTCTCTGAAGTGCGTTTCAGAAAACAGGCTTTTGTTCATTTTTTTTTAGTTTGACCCATGATATTGAAGTCACATTTCTGGGAAATGAACCCAAAATCTAGTATTTAACCAGTTAATTTGAGAGCACACATCCCTAAATTTCTGATAAATTACTTTATCCCAAACCTCTCAAAACAGAATACAATATTATATAATAACTTGCATTTAAATAACTCATTGCACATAAAAATAAAAGTCCCAAAGCATTTGAAAATATAATTGATCAGAAATTAAAATAAAGGTCGTTATAGAGGCAACTAGCAGCGACACGTAAACAACACTGAGATAAGCAGCCAAATCGTTTTTTTTGGTGTAAATTTGGATAAGGAGGGGAATTCAGAGAAAAGAGTCCATGTTATTTGAAATAGAATGGTCCGTTTACATCCACAGAAGCAAAAACAATGTTGGAATGATGGCAAGTCTTATTTGGGGGTCTAAGAAGAACCATCAACGCCTTCAGTAGATTCGATAACAACTTTCAAGAGTGAAGTAGATTGATATTTGGGGAGAACAAATTTGCAGGGCTATGGGGAAAGCGTGGGGGAGTGGGATTACATTGGACAGTTCTTTCAAAGAGCCGCCATGGACATGATGGGCCGAATGGCCTCCTTCTGTGCTGTAAAATTCTATGATCCTTAAGGAGGACGTGAAGCGTGGCTGGAGGTGACCTTTCAGATGGCTTTTCTCCACCTTATTGAAAAGATGCTCCAGAAAAGGTCCAAAAGGTGAAGAGGAGAACTAAGGTAAAGAATGCTGTACTGGTCATTTTATTGCAGTTATGACCCTATGGACTATAAGAAGTGGACCTTTAGAAACATTGCAACTTATAATCATTGAATGACATGCGGTTCTCAGAAACTGTGTCATTTATCACGAACACTCATGCTGTTCGGGGTGTGAAGTTGTAAGAAAACAAAGTTACATGTGAAGCAGCAACTGTGAGTTTCCAATGGTCCAAGGAAACATTCTCATAATATTTTTTTCTCAGCCTATGTTTTGCTGCAGCA